GGGCTGCTGGAAAGGAAAACTGGGTAAAACGTTCATCGACGCGAGTGAGAGGTGGTGTGGCTTCTACCAGACAGCATCGAGGGAGACAGAAGCCATGGCTCGGGATATATTTTAGAGAAGAGCTAATGAAAAATCACTGGAGACCAGCTGATCTAATCTCCTAGATTCTCCAGCCCCCATTAGAGCATGGTCCCTGCACAGAACTCATGCTTCCCACAGGAACCTATTCCAGCATGGGATGGATGGCTGCATCAGGTAGAAAACACAGTTTGTTTGTTTGTTTTCTGGTTCAGTGGATTAGATGTGAATGATGAGTGAGAGGGCAGAATCCTGCAACGCTCTAAGGTCTCAGCCCAAGCCACTGGTTACGGTTGGTGTCATTTCCTCAGTTTGGAAAGATGGAGGGAGGAACATGCATGAGTCATCAAAAGTCCCATTCTGAGCACGTGAAGGCTGAGTTGTCTGTTAGACGTTGGTGTGGAAACATCAAGTAAACAGCGTTTAGGTTGGGAGCGTAGTGGAGAAAGGCGAATGTGAGTTCCTGGGCATGATGCCCATCGTGCGGCCCTGTGGAAGGAGAAGATAGGGCTGAAAACCCAGGATTGGGTTGCAGAGTAAGAGAGAGAAAGAGCCATGGAGGGTGAGAGGGGGCACAAACAAGAGAGACTGACCCATCAAAGTGAGGGTGTTGGGCTGTGTTCAGTGCTGCCAGAAGGTCAAGCAAGATAGGGCCAAAGGGGTGACCTTGGGTTTGGCTACTTAGTGGTTGATGACACTGAGAAGAGCAGATTCATGGAGTGTGGGAGTGAAGGCCAGGCAGAGGACAGTGGGTGGAAGAGCAAACGGGCACTGCAGAGGTTTCAACACTAAATACAAAAGAAGTCAGTAAAACTACTCATGTTACTTCCACTCTACCCCCCATTCTTTCAGACTTTCTCCTTCTTTCTCACTCTCGGTGTGTATATTATTACTCGTGTGTGTACATATGGCCTTTTAAAAACAAAACTGGATTGCTCTGTACCCCTTATTTTTAAATTGGCTTTTAATCCTACTTGTTATTCAACAAATATTTTTGACCACCTGCCACATGCAAGAACTGCTCCAGGGGCTGAGATAGGGCAGCGAACAAAGGCATCCTTTTCTTGCTGCCCAGATGAGAATCAAGTTCAGTAGTAAATTATGTTGTGTTAAAGGACTGCCACCTATGGGGAAATGCTATGGAGAAAAATGAAGCAGGGTAGAATGCTACATTGCCCCAGGTGTCACAAAACATTGTTTCGTGTCACAAAACATTTTTCTATCATGAAATTACACATTTAACCTCTGTCATTAAAAGGCCCCCAAAGAGCAAGTGCTGCTGCAATGTTTTGAGGAGCTCACCTGAAAATAACCTGAAGCTTCCCAGACTGAAAAGCTACCTGTGCAGATGTGTGCCTCTTCTGTTTCTAAGTTTTGAGCTTTTGAATAAAGTGGTTTCACACATGAAGAAGAATAAGAGAATGTTGAAATAGATAATAATAGATAGCAAGTTCTAGGCACTGTTGAGAAAATTATCCTGGTGGCTGTTAGAGTTTGAGCTACAGACGGGGGTCCAAGGCAAAGGCAGATTTAAGCAGTGCCTGTGAGTACCAGGTATCATGGGGGTGGCTGAGTCGATGGGTGTGTGGAGGACAGTGCGCAGTAGGGAAGCTGTTGTCTGTAGCTGTCTCAACGGTGGCAGGAGCTGTTGAGATGGTAGCTGTATCCCAAGTAAGGCTGAACGCAAAAGCAAAAGTCTTGGGATTTGCCATAGTGAGCCAGAATACTGAAAAATAGGGCTGAGAACAGCAGTGTGCTGACAGGTTCCTGTGGACAGTGGCGGGAACGTGGGTAATTATCCCCATCACCAGGGCTTGTGTTCTGGAAAGGAGGTTGGAGACCAGGAAAAGGCCTTGGTTGGGCTCTGTTGGAGCCAGTCCTGAGAAGACAGTGTGTGAGAAAGAAGCACTTAGGGCCTTACTGTTGAGGCGGGCAGGGGCCGAACCTGCAACACAAGTGTCACAGAAGGATTAGCTGGAGAAGAAGCAGAAGAGAAGAAATACTTCCAGAAGACACATCAACTCACACTCTCTCCAGAGAGGTCTTCTTATTAATAGTGGACTGTACTTTAAAAACAACAACAACAACAACAAACAAACAAACAAACAAAAAACCTTATTGAGAGATGAATTTTTAGAAATTGAACAAAGAAAAATAAATCAAATGGTAGAAGCAAGCAAGAAAATTATTTGTACCATCAAATTATAATAAACTCATATGTTATCAGGGGCTCCCTTGGGAGCACTGATTTGACAATATTGCCTAGAAAAAGTCTACTGCCTCTATTGCAGGGATCCCCAGTCCCTGGGCTGTGGACCAGAATGGTACTGGTCCATGGCCTGTTAGGACCAGGCCACACAGCAGGAGGTGAGTGGCAGGCGGGCGAGTGAGCGAAGCTTCATCTGAATTTGCGGCTGCTCCCCAGTGCTAGCATCACTGCCTCAGCTCCACCTCAAACCATCAGGCATTAGATTTTATTAGGAACAGCAGTCCCTGGTACCAAAAGGTTGGAGACCACTGCTCTCTCGAGCAGGTATGCTTATGTTTATAGCCACATGCAAGATAATTTATGTTAAGAAGAGGCTGTTTCACATAATCGTGTATCTGCGTGTGTATATGTGTGTGCCTCTGTGTATTTGTGTGTTACTGTGTGTATGTCTGTTTAGTGAAGACATATCTTTCCTGTGACAGGTGTCCTCATCAAATGTAAAACCTACACTATTTCTTCAATGCGAGATGGTACACGGCAGGTACCTGGAAGTGGTCTGTAGGCGTGGAGGGATGGAACAGTGTGCAGCCCAAGGCCTGGGGCTCTGGGAGGGTGTCACTCTTCATGCCTCAGGGCAGCAGCTTGTTGGTCCCATTTCTCAGCCAAAGGTGTGTAAGCTGTGGTGACCACCGTCACAGTTTTATGTGGCGTGTACATGTGCCAGGCACTTCAGCTCCCTGGTGCCTAACTATAGCATATGACAGTAGACCCCTGGCGTTCAGATGAAGTGGTCATTTACGTCTTCGCTGCACGTACTCTGACCAGCAGCGGGTATTCTTCACAGCTGTCTTCATCTCGAGAGAGTGATGGGCACATGCTCGTCTGGGTTCCGCCCTATGCACCGGCTGACCATGGGGCCTCCTCCTCCTCAGCCCTATTTTGCAATAGGACTTCTCTTTTCAGTGTCTCTAAGAACTCTGTCCCCACCAAAAGGAAGAAATAAAGTTTCGGTGGCCACGTTTGTCCAATACTCTGTTGTCAGTTCTCATATTAAGAATGCGTGTTTGGAAATCTAACGATTATGTGAGCAGAAGGATGGACAGCATGTTAGGGCTACACACCAAGCTTCCCATAAAGGAGGGCCTGTCTCCAGTGTTGAAAGGCTGGTGATGTTACAGTTATTC